GGGGGGGGGGAGCCATGATTTTTAGAGAGAGATAGTTAAGGGAAAACGCGGGAGAGTTCGTTACAAGTTCAACTGATATAACTGAAATTTATAGACAAAAATGTTTAGCACTGTGTGGTGTATTTTGTTACAAGAGGGGCCAGTACCGAAAGTCCAAAAAGTAATGCCTGTTTTTTGTGTTTTAAAGATATTTTTAAAAAGTTTTAAATTTTTTTTATTTCTTTCTTTGTTTAAATTAATATTTTTTTAGTATTTTTAGATCATTTTGATGCGCTAATATCAAAAATGATTTTTAAAAATAAAAAAAATATTATTTTGATATATTTTTTAATAAAAAATACTTTAAAAAGTAACCGTAACTCCACTCCCAAATAAGCTTGTGTAGCCTTGAAAATACTTTGTGAATGTGTATTGTCTTGTGCAAAATATTTTAAATGTTTAGTTTAAAAAATATTTTATATGTAATGTCGCACCCTCGCAAGCGAAGCGCGGCATTGCGGCGACTATGGATTAATTTCGGGGTCTTTTAGTTTTATGTTTGTGTAAAAGGAGTCGTCACCTAGTATTATGGTCACTAGGAAATCTAACTAGTCTTTCAGAGATTCTAAAGCAAAGAACTGGTTGTGTAAAGGAAAGATGTTAGCACCCCTAGTACGCCCTACCTAAGATAAGCTGCTTGGTGTTTGGTTGGTCTTATAATTGTTATGGTATTAATGTTTTCTAATCCCATCAGTTTTTCTTGATTTGATTCTAACTAAATTTATTAAGAAAGAAATCCAAGGAGATTCAATGTGCTTTACAAGCTCATTTTTCCTTTGGTATTTCCAGAGTTAGCGACTCGTAAATCACAGGGAGGAGGGATAAAAATTAGAAATCTAGAGTGCTTTAAAAATCAATTTTTTTTTTGTCTTAGTGTTTTATACTCTCACGGCTCGTAAACCATGGAGTAAAAAATATTGAAATGTCCTTGATTATAATCAAGGTTTCTTTCAAGGATGTGTGCGGATTTATTATTTTTAGAGAATTATTTTGGATATTTTTCACTCTGGGTTTCTTTATCCAAATATTAACAATGAATAATAACAAATTATTCTCAATAATATTTTGGATATTTGTCCTTTAAGGATTTCTTTATCCAAATATTAGCGGTGAATAATAAATGAATCCCCTTCAAAATAAAATTTTTATGTTTTTTGAAATATTGGTCAATACCCATTGGAGTTTTACAAAACTTTTTTTTTTTTGTTAATTTTCTAGCAAACATGAGATACACTCCCACACTTGGTTCAAAACAGGTATATATCATTTTTAGTACGTGGGGTCCAAAATTAAGTAACAACATGTTTTTTAATGGTGGTGATGTGGAGGAAATGGTGATAAAATAGATGGTGGTGATGTGGAGGAAATGGTGATAAAATAGTTGCAGTGATAGTGAAAAAAAAGATGCAGAGGAAGAGGTGGTGGTGAGAAGGAAATTGTGCTAGCAAGACAACAATACAAAAGGAGATGACGGTTGAAATGATTTAAAAATATTATAAGTATATTATTGCTCATAAAATATTTTGTTGATTAATTTTCCTATTATAAAATATTCTACGAAACAGGAAAATATTTTCAGAAAACAAACATGGAAAAATGTTTATGCTCTTATATGATTGCAATTGTTCTTTTGTATTTTTCTAATTGCCAATTGATTTGTGATTTTAAAACTGTTTTCACTACAAATAATAATGCATTTTCTGCATGCAAATGGTACAGAAGCTAAGCAACAGATTATCCATTCAAACTTTATACAAGTTCAGCACATGAAAGTTACATTACTCAGCAAAACTACACCTATCAAGCGTCAAAATTAGTTGCCTAAGTCTATACAGCATCTTCACAGACTAGGAGAGTGAGCCAACACCAATCACCATTGATCCCATTTGTTTATGAAGTCATTCCACATTGCCCCCATAATCGATTCTCGTAATGAGAAAGCCATGTGATCCTGAATGGAGGAAGCCAGCTGTATACCAGACTCGTCATCAATATCTGGCAATTCTGCCACAGCCGCTCCATCAACATTAGCAAACAACCAATCATCTTTCCCTTCGCGCCTGATGTAATTATGTAACACGCATGCAGCAATAACTATGTCCCTTTGGACATGAAATCCATATTGAGGGGCAACGTTAAGAATAGGAAATCGCGTTTTCAGCACATCGAAAGACACCTGAATGGTGTTTCTAAGGGAAGAATGTCGGTGATTAAATAGTTCCTGCGGATTTCTGGGCAGCTGATTGGCACCTCTAAATTCATGAAGGTGATAGCGAACTCCTGGGTACGGAGCAATAAATCCTTCCAGATTTGAGTATCCTGTGTCAACTATGTAGTATTTTCCTGTCAAATAACGGAGTGGGTAAGCAACCCAAGAAAAAAGCTAGAGAAAACAGAAGCTCCAAGTTTGAAAGAGAGGGCTTGTGTGTGCGCGAATGCAATTATAGATGAACATGGTTTGTGCGTGCAAATTAGACATGGAATACAGAGAGACCTCAATTCTGGGTAAAGCTACAAACTACCGCAAGTTTGTGTTATGTGAGCATGTGAGAGAGGGAGTGTGTGAGAGAGAGAGAGGGAGGGAACCTTCAGGTATGATAGGGAAATTCTGATCTGGATCATCAAGGACTGCTCTTAATACACGAGAATCTGCAGCAGAGCCTTCCCAACCCGGATAAATAAATATGAACTGCAAGTCAAATGTACAAGCAGCCAAAACATTTTGTGACAAAACACCTTTCTTATTACGAAATCGTGATTGGTCCTTGGCTGAAAGATGTGCAGGAACATGCATAGCATCTATGACACCGATACAATCCTGAACAAAAAGAAATCAAGTAAGTGGCATAAAATAATGCATCACAAAAGATATAGAATAGTTTTGCAGAGATATACCTTGAAATATGGATAGAATTGTTGGGAAAACTCGGAACAACCGGACACCAATTTATCCGGATCAATTCAGCGGAATACAATTACAATTACAATTCACAAGTCCCAATTCTTTCCCTCTTTGTGCAGTAAAACAGAATCAAACAATGATGAAAAATAATGCAAATAATCACAAAATCAACACCAAGATTTTTAACGTGGAAAACCCGATGCGGGAAAAACCACGGGACCGTAGTCCATCTAAAAACTTCCACTATCAAGAAATAATGGGTTCATAATTATTCTTCCTCAGATTTAACTAAGGGATACAACATATATATCATCAAGAACAACTTATTCTCGGATTACAACAAGATTAAAGGAGAATTATTTGAGAAAAACTCACAAAACTGACAGCCCCGTTTTCTATCAAAACGGTTAGCTTCCACACCACCAATCTTCGATCCAACCGTCCAGAATGAAGATCAACATGTCTAGAAGCTGCTGTCAACATTTCAGCCCGATCCAACGGTGAACGAGCTGAAAATCGAAGAAAGAGCACAGGCTGCTCTGCTGCCTCTTCTTCTCTTTTTCTCTCTTAATTTTCTTCTCCTCTCTTCTAATTTCAAATCTGCCGCTACAGTACCCGAACCACGTTAATATTAACACCAAGAGATATAGCCATCACATGACATTTAATGTGGTGGTCCCACCATTACATGGTGTGGGACCATACACAACAAGAATCTATTACTGGACAGAATTTCTGGAGGAGTGGTGGCTGTAGAAACTCACGTGAAAGTGACTTGATTGCCTTCAACACATTATTGAAATGCCGGCTTAACCTTTCCTGGATAACTCTGTTACGCTCGTAATGACCAATAATGTTCAAGAAAATAGCCAGCTGCTCCTCTATCATAACACCTGCAGTATCACGAAGCATGCCTCTTTGTCTGAGAATGCCACATAGATTGTGGAATACATGTTTATCCATCCGAAACATTTCCCGGCATCCATCATCAGGGCCATCCAGCACTTCAGACATAAAACTACTTCCATAAGGCGACGAACCATGTCGAGGTTGCCGAGTTATACTGTTATAATAGTAATAGCCGGCAGCGGCCGCAACTAATTCCATATTGTCCAATTCTAAGTCGAAGTCTTCCATACTAGCCAATGTATCTGTAGAAATTGGATTAAAATGGAGAATAGACAACACAATGCAAGAGGTTAAACATATAGATAAATAAAAGTAATTTCTCTTGAATGTATTTCTACTTTGCATATTGACCTTCAAAGACAAGCAAGCAGCCCTAGAGACCACATCATGCAGCCAAATTAACCGTAAATTCACGGTTATCTATCATTTAAGAAAATTAAACTGACAAAACAGCCATCAATCATGAAGTCAAACTAGTTTTGTATGGGGTTTCTTCAGAGTACTTTGTCCGTACATAGCACAACCATAATTAGTAACCATGGAAAATACAAAATAAAAAGTGGTCAATCAAACCTAATTCAACTAGGGGTAGCACTGCACTTTCCCTTCAACCATGGCAACCTTTTCTCACTCTTTAGAGCGATAAATATCTCCCTGGCAATGGGTTTCTCAAATAAATCCAAGGCAAGAAAGTAAATTTGTTGATCAACACCTTGCATCTCATCCAAGAAAGTAAAATAATAAATAAAATTATTTATATTATAATTAAATTAATTTAAAAATTAAATTAAAATTATAAAATCTAAATAAAAATAACACATACGATCGCATGATGATTTTAAAAAATCAGTAAGAGAGTAATGATTGCATTGAGGACAATTTGCATAGTGGTGAGTAATAGTTGCATATACGACAAAGAATGCACAAGGATTTGTGCTAGCGTTTTATTTCTTCAAAACAAGCAGAATTGTTTTCAAAAAACATTTGGATTGCTTCTCTGACAATTATTTAAATTATTCAATATTTATTATAATTTGTTTTCTCTTTTTTTCTTTTGGGTGGATGCTTTCCTGGAAGGAGAAAGAGGTCTATTATTCAGGATTTACGTTTTAAAAATATTTTTAAATTTTTTATTTTTTATTTCAAATTATTTTGTTATATTTTTGGATTATTTTGATTTAAAAATAATTTTAGATAAAATAAAAAATTATTATTTTAATATATTTTCAAATAAAAAATGTTTTAAAACATAATTGCTATATTCTCAAACACGTTTGCTAACTTGCTATGGTGGGAGGAGATAGAGTCATGGAGGTGTTACGGTTTTAGAGAGAAGAATATGTTTTGGCTAATGTGGGAAGCTTTGACTGCCTCGATGGTGGTTGGGGGTATGGAAGAGAAGTTATCGCTGATCTAGTTGAAGGGAGAGCGATTATTATGACTGTGTGAGGGTCGTGAGGAGACCAATATGTTCTGATTTCTTTCTTTCTCTCCAAGATTATCAACTCAACACCCAAGATATGAAAAAAAAAAAAAACATAGGAAAAGAACATTATATTATACATCACTCTCGGATGGGTGGTGCTTTTATTTTTCACAAAATACTATTTATGCTCTTATATTTTACTGTGATTACAATAGTGTAATTTAAAAAAAATTAATTTAATTCTCTAACTTTATTTTTGCAAAATTAAGCCCTTTTAAAATCAAATTAGAGCCTAATTGCATGTTTTTGTTTACGGAATGGTTGAATTAAAAGAAAGTGGACTGAAGTGAAAATAGCGGGTAACATAGGTGGCAAATTAAAAATTTTTATTAAGCATTCATTTGAGTTTCCTATTTTACATCTTGCAAATTTCAATTGTGGTATCGCACTTCATTCTTCCCATTCTTCAGTTTTTTTGGTTGGAGAAGAGAAAGGACGTCGCTAGATTCTAGATTACAGAGAGTACGTTTCCATTTGTGACGAAATTGACCATAACATGTTTTTGTCAAATAATTTCATACGAAGAGGTGAATTAAAATTAAATGTTTTTTTTACCTTAAAATACTTAAAAAATCATATTTAAATCATAGTTATTAAATAAGTCTCGGGGGTTGACCCGGTCAAGAGATCGGGTTCCGGGTTTCATGGGTTAACCTGAAAAAATTTTAAAAAAATTAATATTTCATATAAAAAAATTAAAAAAAAATCCATGTAAATATATACTTATATATTATAAATAATAAAGTTTAAGAAAATATTTTTTTAAAAAAAATTATTCCATATTATAAAGTTGTTATGTTAAGCTTTTAAATTGAATTATTTAAATTAAAAAAGATTTTTATCCTACAGTGAAAAAATACATTTTTTTTCTTAAGAACATAAAACATATATACTAATAAGTTTCAATCACATATTGAAAAAATATTTTTTTTTCTTGTGAACATTAAATATATATAGTAATGGGTTTCAAATCCTACATTGAAAAAATAATTTTTTTTGAAACTAGAGTATGTATAGTTATATACAAAATGACTTCAAATCTCACATTGAAAAAAATATTATATTATCTTTTTAAGTTGAAGTATTTAAACTAAAAGATTTTTTCATTCCACATTGAAAAAACATAATTTTTTTCTTGGAAATATAAAATATATATACTAATGAATTTTAAATCTTACATAGCTTGGCTAGGTCGTTGCACCAGCCAGTCTTTTGGCAAACCTAGACCGATTCAGTTATCGGGTCAATCAGGTCCCAGGTCGACTTGTTGGGCCAGTCCATGTTTAATAACTATGATTTAAGCTTGAGATTTTATTTTTTTTGCTTCGAGTGGATTTTGAGTTTTGCAGTGGATTTTTGCTCCTTTTTTTTCCACAAATTGATTTAATAAGGTCTCTAGTAGAGGTGAGGAAAAAAACCAAAAAACAAAACCAATAAAATCGAGAAAACTAAAAAAAACTAAAAAAAACAAACCTTAAAAAAAACTGATTAGAATAATTAAAATAACTGATTGATTCGGTTTCATAAACCTAAAACTGAAAAACCAAACCAAACTAAATCAGGAAAAGACCAAGTCAAACAAAAAAATAATTCAAATTGAAAAAACCAAATCAATTGGGTTTTGGTTTTTGCTCTAAAATAACCGAACCAAAGCTGATCGATTTGAACCAATTTTGATTCAATTTTAATTTTTTATAAAAAAATTGGTTCGGTTAATTTTTAGATAAAAATCAAATTAAATCGAAAATAATTATCTCTAGTCTCTAGGGATGTTTCCCAGGTGTTTTGGACAAAAAAAAATGTTGAAATGAGTTTTTAAATTAAAAAAAAAAACTTTAATTTTTTTGGTCAGCATAATACAAGATTTTAGAGATGAACAGAAGTGTTTTCTAAAAAAAGAATATTGTTTTTTTGGTTACCACAATGCCAAATTTTAAGGATGAATAAATAACATTTTCTTTTTGTCTCGTTAAACTTAAAAAAAATATACACTCAGACTAGCCATTACTTGATTGGATAAAGTGCTAGACATGTAGAGGCCCATTAGCACTTAGCCTGGTATTTTTTATATAATTTTATTTTTATATTTGTTGATTTTAAAAAATATATATATATTGAATTTATGTTTTAATTAATTTGTGATAATTGTTTTAATGATATTTAGTTCTTTAAATGGTAGGTATGATCCTCCCACAATTTTTTTTTATTTAGTTCTTTAAATGGTAGGTATGATCCTCCCACATTTTTTTTTAATTTTATATAAATTAAATTTTTTAATATTAATTTTTTTATAAAGTTTTTTATATGTACAACATTGTATTTTTTATTCAATAAATTTTATGTGTTGCCTTTTACTTTAATTTTATGTGTTTTTCTTTTCTAAATTTATTTTAATAAAAAAATTAATCAAACCCAACAAGATAAATTATCTGTGTTGCCAAGAAAATCATAAAAAAAATTGATAGCACTTACAAATAAAACTCAATTTTCTATCAAATTTATTTAAAAACTGTTATTTATGTGTAAACAATAGAGTTTATGTAGAATACTTCAATGTGTTATTCTTCTCCGACAGGAGGCAATACATAGATACAAATTACAATTACTCCTAAACATTAGGAAACAAAATAGGAGAATAAAGAGATAAACAGGAAAGCAATTCGTTCTTATATATATTCAAGATTTATCAACTAATCATGTCTCTAATATTAATTAGAGAATCAATCTAAAATTGCATGCAACTCATGCACACATTATGTCAGTAACTAAACTGTAATTTTTTGAAATTCATGGGAGAAATCGTAATTTTTCAAAATTCATGAACTAAACTGAAATTTTATATCTTCAGCATCTAAACAAATTTTCCAGCATTTTAACATGATTCTTTCAATTTAATTCTTTAATTATTCACTATTTTCGATCAAACATTTCTAAGGTTTTACGCAAAATAAATAAACATACATACATATATGCATATCAATTATTCAGAATCATCTACTAATTATTCATAATCTACCTTAATGTGTTCATATGCAAATATAATTACTCATCCACAAATTAAAGCAACAAACCCCAAAATTATCAACCAAATCACATAAACCTTAAACGAACAACACTAGTAATTATATACTTGGAGAATCGCTATTTAAAGGTAATTAAAATATATTTATTTTATCTCTTTGTTTTTGTTTTTTTGCATTACTTGATTCTTTCAAGTAAATAGCATGTTGATTGTTGAATTAGTGATAATTTGTTGTTAAAATAAAATAACTAATTGAATTCGTTTTATTATTTTTATCTCTTCATTATAATTCTTGGTTCGCGTCATTAATAACAAAATCACGAGGATATTAAAATTTAAAACGAACAATATATAATATATTGGGTTAGGTTATTAGATTTAATATCAGAGCTGAGGACAACTCATCTTAAGATGAGAGATTGTGATATGCTTCATCAAAGACAAGCATTCAAAGTCACGACTTCACGAGTAAAGCTGGTTGATAACATATTGTGTATATTTTGAGAGGTTAGGATTAGAATGGGGTTCATGTCATCAAAAACAAAACGATAAAAATAATAAAACTCAAAACAAAAAATATACAACATGTTTAGCTGTGTTATTATAATTTTTCTTTCATCAAAAAGTATACCCAATATTTGTTTCATTGTTTATTTATTTGCTAAAGTTAAATATAGAAAAATAATTAAAATTAAGAGAAAAACGTATACTGTAATGTTAAATCTCACAAAAGCTACAGGGTCCCACCAACTACACCTAACCTATGTATATTCAGCTGCATCCTTTCCCCTCGCCAAAAAAATTTAGCCCGGAGATATTTCATCATGGTGAACAACGAGACTATAACACTTCATTCACTATTTTCTTGCAGTAATCTTATCTTTAACTTATATAAAACCTTAACATATCTCTTGCCACAGCTTGCGGACAATGAGAACATTACCAAAAGCACAGAAAACTTCGCTACTAAACTTGCCACCTTTGCGGACAACAAGAACATCAACTTGATTTTGTTTTTCTGAAAAAAAACAAGGGCAACGGCTGAGAGGCATATTTTAGGGTAGTAGGTTTTTGTGTTTTTCTTTTTTTTCTTATAAGACTTTTTTGGAACTTGCATATAGGTTGACCATTTTGATTCGAGGTTCTACATCACCGCTTTGGTGATTCAAATTTTCTACTTACCAAAAAAAAAAAAAAAGATTCAAATTTTCTAT